CGAGTTGTGGCTGTTGAGTTTGTTGTGGTTTTGCTGACTGGATATCATAATTTGTCAAATGGATATCATAAATCGTCAACGCTTCCGGTAAATCGTCGAACCACGAAAAATTTTCTTCTTGTAGTTGTTGTTGAAACTGTTGTTGCTGTTCTTCTTTATGGTGTTGTTCGTGTTGTAGTTGTTCTCTTGGCTGGAGACAATAATTTAATTCTTCCGGCAAATCTTTTATCCACGAAAAATCTTCTTTTTTGTCTTTCTCTCTGTTTTGTTGAAGTTGTTGTTGTTTTTGTTGTAGTTTGTTACGTTGTTCGTTTTGTGGCTGTTGAGTTTGTTGTTTTTCTTTTGGTGACTGAATATCATAATTCGTCAACGTTTCCGGGAAATCGTCGAACCACGAAAAATTTTCTTCTTTACCCTCCACTCTGTCTTGTAGAAGTTGTTGTTGTAGTTGAAACTGTTGTTGCTGTTGTATATTTGTTTGTTTGTGTTGTGGTTGATGAGTTTGTTGCTGTTTTTGTGAATGCTGTTCTGGCAAATCGTCTAACCATGATTCAGGCTTCATCCTCTTGTTACCCGGTTTATGTTTCAATACGCCCTTGTTTCTGTTCTGTTTTTGATCTATTTCATTTTCTAATGGTTTATCCGTCGTTTTGATAACTTTCTTGCTGCTCTCCTTCCTCTTTTCTTCGTCCTCCTCATGGTTTTTGTTTGCGAGATAAATGTTTAAGACATTTTCCGCAAAATTGTCTAAATCGACAAAATCTTCAATAGATTCTCCCGTTTTATTATGAACATTTTCTTCCTTTTTTCTTTCATTTTCATTTTTTATCCTTTCATCTTCTACTCTTTTTCTTTCATTTTCTTCCTTTTTATTCTCCTTCTCCTCATTCTTTCTCTTAAAGGCAAGAAATATGTTCATAACATTGTCCGCAACATCGTTGAGGTCGAAATCACTTTCAAAAGAATTTGCCATTGTTTATTAATTTTACGCCAATTGATAGTTTGAAGAAGATTTCAAAACTAATTGAGAGTTGAATACGTTTGTTACTACCGTCTTATATAGGCTGACTTGAAGCTAACTTTATTCCATACACACAGCAAAGTTGATTTTTAACACAGAACATACACGTACAAAGTTAATTTATAACACTAAATTATTTTACGATACCATTCACTTTGAAATTTTCCGTGTTAAATTTTGTTTCTTATCTATGGTATTTTTAATTTCATTACAAGTTAACTTTAATATCAATTGTAAAATAATGAGGCATAATTTTTAGTTTGATTGAAAAGTCCATAAAAATTTTTTTAAAAGCGTATTGAAGATTTCTACGAATATTCCAAGCCACTAATTTTTGAAGAATTTTACACGAAAGATTTATTTTGTTAGTTGCATCATATCGGCCGATCCTACCACAGGCATTTAAGTATAGTTGTTCGTTCTTTCAGCAATATATCAAACAATAATCGGCGTAGAAAACTGACAATTTGATTTTACTGAAAATTCATCTCGATTTCAACGTTTTAAATTATTGAATTAGAAAAAACTTGAGTTGCTTTTTCAAATTTTATGACCTCACCAATCCTGAACAAAATTCTTTCAAGAGTGTTGTTCCTTTACAAGTGTTCTTCTTTATTTTGAGACTGCTTCCAATAATCGGCGTAGAAAACTGACAATTTGATTTTACTGAAAATTCATCTCGATTTCAACGTTTTAAATTATTGAATTAGAAAAAACTTGAGTTGCTTTTTCAAATTTTATGACCTCACCAATCCTGAACAAAATTCTTTCAAGAGTGTTGTTCCTTTACAAGTGTTCTTCTTTATTTTGAGACTGCTTCCATCCAATTATTAAAAAAATTATTTAAAATATACTTTTAGTTTCTTCATGATTGAACGAAACTTTTAGAGCCAGGTCCTTGTCCAGTCCGACAGCGCACCTTCAGGTGTGTCAACCTGACATAAACCGTGTGTCGATATTAAATAGTGCACATCCGTAAAAATCAAATTTGGCAACTCTCCAAACACATTCAACGAAAATATTTTTTTATTATTATGATTTACTGTTGTATAATATAGAATTCTTGCCTAAATATACTATATAAAATATGAATGTTATTAAATTATACTTTGGCGAGTAAACTTTTAAAAATTAAATTCTTCTTATTATTTTACTAAAAACAGAAAATCAATCAATCTTCGTTTTGCGTCCAGAGACCCGGTTCTCCGAAGAAGGACGTTGTTTTCTTTGCCATCAAATTTTTACGCTAAATTAGACGATCAGTTGTATCCATTTCATTTAAATTTAGAGCCTTCATGTCTTGCTCGATTGTTTGCGACCAGGACTTCTTTGGACGGCCTTAGGGACGTGTGCCAGGTACTTCAACATCTGCAAGAGAAGTTATGGCACTGTTTTCACTTCGTTTGACATGACCAAACCAGCGCAGACGGTGTTGCCGGCATTCGTCCTTTATATCATCTAAACCAGCACGACGCAGGATTTCGGTAGATTTGATGTGGTCCTTCAGACTAATTCGTTGCATCCATCGGAACATTTTCATGTCGGTTCGTGGAAGTTGTTGTTCCAGTTTGGTTGTCATTGGCCATGTTTCTGCACCATATAACAACATCGGACGTATCACCGTTTTATAATGTCTTGATCGTGGTGGTAGTGGGATGTCGCGACGCATCAATATAGAAGCAAGGAGATGCCATTTATTCCAGGCTGCACGTATGCGTGCTCGAACGGCAGCTTCAGCTCTTCAAGAACATCCCCTAGATATTGAAACGATGTGACTTTCTCTACCTTGATGGTTTCAAAAACAGTGCTATTTCAAATTTGTTGTTGTGGATTGATGCAAGCAGGACAAACAAAATTGGACACTTTAGATAAAAACAGAAACAAGTTTTATATCACGTTATATATTAAATGTAGAATGTACGTTGAGTTTCGAGGAAAACAAAGATCATTTATGCTGTCCGAAGCAGGAATGGTGCGTTTGCAGATAAAAAAAAACAAAGATGAGCATGAATTTTTTTATTTAAAAACAGATTGAATAAAAAGTGATATTATAACAAGAGATTTTTAAAAAAATTTGAAAAAATTGCCGAATTAAATGCATTTAAACAATTAAAAATTAAATAATTTATTAAATAAATATGTTCATATACAACTTAGAAAAATATATTTACAAGGGAGACATTGGTAGTCCGTACATGTGCAGAACCCTAACTGAATTTAGACCCAGGTGGGCACTACAAGCTTCGTAGTGACGTTGGATTTTGACAAAAGTTACACCAACAGCATATTTACCCGGGTTTAGGCTTTCATTCAGTTCATACATGACACCAATAGATATAAATTAAGATAAAAAGTTCTCTTTAAAATCTCCTAGTTACTCACAAAAGATTTCTAAGGTAGGACACAGCCAATAATAAATAGTGCACACCCATAACAAGGTAAATCAGGCATCACATTCAAAGAAAATATTTCACTATTATTATGATTTACTGTTGCATAATATAGAGTGCTTGCTAACTTTACATTTTCTCCAATGTCAGACCACTTGCATTTCGTAATTTGAGTGTTATTAAATTATACTTTGGTCGGTAAACTTTTAAAGTTTAAGTTGTTATTATTATTTGACTAAAACAATTTACGATTAAATTGTTCGTAATAAATACGGACTAAAAAAATTATTTGTAACACTTAACAGTCAGACATGACAGTAGGAAGTATGAGTATTTAGTAAAGACCAGGTTGTTTCAATTCATTTTGATTTAATGTAATTTATTCAATGGTAAAATCAAAGAATTTACAGAAAAATCAACAAAAATATTTGATATTAAATGCCGACGATTTCAGTTCAATATTTGAAATTGTTGTAGATGTTGTCAGTTCTGTTGAAATCGTAGCCATAGCTGCTGTTGTAGTTGTTGATGTAGTAGTTCATGCTATTGTTAATGTTGTTGCTCTGTTGTTGGTTAGTTTGAGGTATGTTGTATGAGTGTTGCAAAAGTTGCTGTTGCTGATTCTGCTGTTGCGGAAGCTGTTGTTGCTGAAGCTGCTGGTATTGTTGTGGCTGTGAATATATGTTTTGTTGTGATTGTTGCTGATACATGTTTTGTGTTGGTTGTTGAAGCTGCTGTTGCTGAAACTGCTGTTGCTGAAACTGCTGTTGCTGAAACTGCTGTTGCTGAAACTGCTGTGTGAATTGCTGTGTTGGCTGGTATTGTTGTGGCTGTGAATATATGTTTTGCTGTGATTGTTGCTGGTATATGTTTTGGGTTGGTTGCTGAAGCTGCTGAAATTGTTGTTGCTGAAGCTGCTGATTGCTGATGCTGAAGCTGCTGAAATTGTTGTTGCTGAAGTTGCTGTTGCGGAAATTGTCGTTGCAAAAGTTGCTGTTGTTGCTGAAATTGCAGTTGCGGAAGTTGCTGTTGATATTGTGCAAATTGCTGTGTTGGTTGGAAATATATGTTTTGCTGTGAATTTGGTGAAATTTTGCTGCTTATAAAGTTGTTTGTGGTTTGAGGCTGTGATGGTTGCTGATAAAAGTCTTGGGCTGGTTGTTGTGCTGGCAGAAGATTGTTTTCTGTGTTTAGTAACTGTTGCTTGGCATTGAAACTTTGTTTTGGTGTTGGTCTTTTTCGCTTCAATGTTTGAATGTTTTTCCTACTTGGAGTTTCTTGTTGTGATGTTTCCATGTTTTGGATTGGATGTTGGTGTTGTCGTTGTTGAAGATTGAGTGTTTTCAGTTGAGAGCGTTGTTTAGGTTTGGATGTTATTGCGTATTGTAAGGTTTGTTGTGATGAGACGCAATGAGTTTGTAATTGTTGAGGACGCTGTAATTGAAGTTCTTGCTGTAGTTGAAGTTGTTGTTGTATAGGTGCTTGTGCTGGTTTTTGATGTTGTTGATGAGTTTGTTGTTGTGAATGTAGTCCTGACTGGTTATTGTAATTCGTCAACGTGTCCAGCAAATTTTCTTCTTCATCCTTCACTTTGTCTTGTTGAAGTTGTTGTAGGTCTGGAAGGAGTTGTTGTGTCTCCATTTGAAATTGTTGTGGCTCTTGATGAAGTTGTTTTTGCTGTTGTGGTTGTTGAGTTTGATGTTGTTGATGCGCTGGCTGGATATCGTAATTTGTTAACTCTTCAGGCAGATCTTCTAACCATGAAAAATCTTGGGCCTCCACTCTGTCTTGTTGATACTGTTGTTGCTCGTATTGAAATTGTTGTATTTGTGCTTTTTCGTTTTGTTGTTTGTGTTGTGGTTGTTGAGTTTGTTGTTGTGCTGGCTGGATGCAATAATTCAATTCGTCTGGCAGATCCTCCAACCACGAAAAATCTTGTTGCTCTTGTTGATGTAGTTGAAACTGTTGTTGCTGTTGTGCTGGTTCGCGTTGTGGTTGTTGTTGTGTGGGCTGTATACAATGATTCAACTCTTCTGGCATATCTTCTTTTTTATTCTCCACTCTGTTTTGTTGAAGATGTTGTTGCTCTTGTTGAAGTAGTTGAAACTGCTGTTGTAGTTGTGTTGGTTTGTGTTGTGGTTGATGAGTCTGTTGCTGGTTTTGTGACAAATCGTCTTCCATTTTGTCCTTCACTCTCTCCTTTGTTTTTTCCTCTTCAACCATCTCTTTTATATTTTTATCCTCCAGTTTCTTCATTATATTTTCATTTTTCTCTTCATTCATTTTTTTCATCAGTTGCTCCTGTTCTTCGTATATTTTTTGTCTATCCAGTTTCGCTGTAACTATGCGTCTATCGACTACCAGGTTGTTGTTTTGTTTCTTGTGGTACTCTTTCGTCATTTTTAAAATTTCTTCCTTACTTGGTAAAGGCTTCACCCTATTGTTACCATGGTTCCGTTTCACGACGATCTTATAGTTGTTCAGTTTTTGATTTTTCACTCTTTCAAATGATTTATTCGTCGATTTGATAACTTTCTTTCTGTCCTCATTCCGAATGTTATTTTTATCATTCTTTTCTTCATCCTCCTCATGGTTTTTGTTTGCGAGATAATTTTTTAAAACATTTTCCGCAAAATTATCCAAATCGAAGGAATTTTCAAATGATTCTTCCTTCTTTTTCTGAACCTTTTCTTCTTCTTTCTTTTTTCTTTCATCTTCTTCTTTTTTTCTCTCTTCCTCCTCATTCGTTCTCTTAAAGGCAAGGAAAATGTTCATAACATTGTCCGCAACATCGTTGAGGTCGAAATCTTTTTCAAATGAATTTGCCATTGTTTTTTAATTTTACACCAATTGATAGTTTGAGGAAGAATTCAAAACTAATTGGAAATTGAATACGTTTGTTACTACCGTCTTATATAGGCTGACTTGAAACAAACTTGAATCCATACACACAGCAAAGTTGATTTGTAACACAGTAACTTTATTTACAAAGTTAATTTATAACTTTGCGTGAGATTTTATGATACAACATTCGATTAAACAAAGTGCGTTCTTTTTTGTTGCAAATAAAGTTTTTATTATTAGATTTATAAAGTGTCAGATTCAGCATAAGATGTGTGATCGACTTTGTAAAAAAAAATTTTATGACACATTATCTGATAAATTATTTTACGATAACATTCACTTTGAAATTTCCAGTGTTAGATTTTGTTTCTTATCGATGGTATTTTTAATTTCAGTGCAATAGTAAAATAATTTTTAGTTTGATTGAAAATCCATAAAAAATTTTTCAAAAGCGTATTTAAGATTATTACAAACATTCCATTCACTAATTTTTGAAAAATTTTACACGAAAGATTTTTTTATTTTGTTCGTTGCATCATATCGGCCGTTCATACAGCATGCTTTTAAATATAGTTGTTCTTTCTTTCAACAATATCAAAAAATCGGCATTGAAAACTGACAATTTGGTTTTACTGAATTTTGATCTCGATTTCAACGTTTTAAATTATTGATTTAAATAAACATGAGTTGCTTTTTTAAATTATATGTCTCCCAGATTTTTTCACTGATTTAATTGATTTTTATTAAACAGCAATGAAAAAATTGAGCCAAAAGTTTAAGTTCAACAATGGACCTCACCAATCCTGAACAAATTTCCTTTGAGAGTGTTGCTCCTTCACGAATGTTCTTCTTTATTTCGAGGCAGCTTCCATTCCAAATATTAAAAAAATTTTTTTAAATATACTGTTAGTTTCTTTGTCAATGAACGAAACTCTTAGAGCCTGGTTCTTGACCAGTCCTACTGCGAGCTCTCAGGTGTGAATTAGACATTTAGCTGGTCATCTATTAGACATATCATTATTGAAATTATATGGTTATAAAAATAAAGTTAAATATCACATTATGAACAGCATAAAAAGTCACAACACTAGGTGTTGTCAAGTTTTCTAGGTCATGCCAACATTTCACCTCTTACAATTGAGATAACTTTTAGGAAAAATTTAATCAAATTATTTCTAATTTGATTTAATATTTCGAAGCATGATTAATTATAACCTAAATTCAATTATTTCTAACTGAAATTTCCTAACGCAAATGTCAATCAATAGACTGTCATCAAATTCTTATGGGGTCTGTGGTTACCCACGGGGTACTGTTAACAAATTAAATTAATGGCAAAAACTCTGATTTCATTGGAAAAACAATCGAAAAAAGTCGTATTTTTTTAGCACCACAGAACATTTCTTTATTTTGAATAAATTTTTCGAGATGCTTTCATTTTATAATAAATTTCATCGATATTTTTGACAAGTCTAGTTAGATATAACATTTGCAACAACATATAAGGCATGGTGGCCTCAATATTTTCTTATCTTATTTTTTGTTTTTTTGGTTTAGAACCCGAAAAATATATAATAAAAAACAAGGTAACGCAGCATTCGGTTTTTTTATTTGAAATATCAAAAAGGTAGAATCATTGACGTAAGTTGATATCTAGATTTGTGCTACAATTTGTAAATCAAATACTAACGTTTAATAATATTAATCATTGTTCATTTATTATTATTATTATAATTTTTATTATTTTATTATCATTATATTAACGACATCATTTAATTTGGAATTTTACCTAGAGGCCTCCTTTGCTAACGGAGTAGCAAAGGTCACTCAATATTTCCGCAAAATTAATTATCACTAAGAAAAGGCATAGCCAAGGGTTAGCTTATTAGGGGTTGAAACCTCTCTACAATCTTTTTTTATATTAAGGTTAAACTTAAATTTCTTTAAATATCTAAGTCAATTTATTAAATTTTGGTTAAATTGTTGCTTCCAGTTTATGAAACTGCAATGGTCTCTAAAAATTGATTGAAAAATACAATCTTCGATACACAAATAATGAACAAAAATTCTAAGATAATATTTTACAATTATATAGAAATCTTGCCTAACTTCTTTTCGAAATATAAATGTTAATAGTTTAAACTTTATCGAGTAAATTTTCAAATTTGTATTATTATTTGACTAAAACAATTTACGATTAAATTGTTCGTAATAAATACGGATTGAAATAAAATTCTTTGTAACACTAACAGTCTGACATGACAGTAGGAATTATCAATATTTAGGTAAGATCATGTTGTTTCAATTCATTTTTATTAATATAAAAAAAAACATTCTAAATCATTCAATGGTGAAATCAAAAAACTTTAAGAAATATTAATAAAAATATTCAATATTGAATGCCGGCGAATTTGCCTCATTAGTTGAAATATAATAGTTGTAGATGTTGTTTGTGCTGTTGACGTCATAGCCATAGTTGCTGTTGCAGTCGTTGATGTAGTGGTTGATGCTAATGTTAATGACGTTGGTTAGTTTGAGGTAGGTTGTACGTGTGTTTCGGCAAACGTTGTGTTTGTGATTGGATTGTTGATGTGGTTTGAAATTGCTGTTGTTGTAGTTGCTGAAATTGCTGTTGTTGAAATTGTTGTTGCGGAAGATGCTGTTGCGGAAGATGATGTTGCGGAAAATGCTGTTGCTGAAGCTGTTGTTGAAGCGGCTGATGTTGAAGCTGCTGATGGAGTTGTGGCTGTATGTTTTGCTGTGAAATTGGAACATTGTTGGGTTGCAGATATAAGATCGGTCTTGTTGGCTGTTGTTGCGGAAGTTGCCGTTGCGGAAGTTGCTGTTGCTGAAGCTGTTGTTGTTGAAGCTGTTGTTGTTGAATCTTTTGTTGTTGAAGCAGCTGTTGTTGTTGAAGCTGCTGTTGCAAAAGTTGCTGTTGTTGAAGCTGCTGTTGCAAAAGTTGCTGTTGTTGAAGCTGCTTTTGCTGGAATTGCTGCTGCGGAAGTTGGTAAAGCTGTTGTGGTTGAAGCTGCTGTGGTTGAAGCTGCTGTGGTTGAAGCTGCTGTTGTTGAAGCTGGGTTTGTTGAAGCTGTTGTGTAAATTGGAGTTGTTGTGGCTGTAGGTTTTGCTGTGAATTTGGAGTATTTTTGAGTCGCAAATATAATATCGGTTTTGTTGGCTGTTGTTGCTGTTGTTGAAGCTGTTGTTGTTGAAGCTGTTGTTGTTGTTGAAGCTGTTGTTGTTGTTGAAGCTGTTGTTGTTGTTGAAGTTGTTGTTGAAGCTGCTGTTGTTGTTGAAGTTGTAAATATATGTTTTGTTGTAAACTTGGAGCTGTTTTGCGTTGCAGATATATGACCTGTCGTGCTGGTTGCTGTTGTTGCTGGGTTATGAAATTGTTTGTGGTTTGAGGCTGTGATTGTTGTTGATACATGTTCTGGGTTGGTTGTTGAAGCTGCTTGGATGGCTGAAGAATGTTTGGCATGTTTAATAACTGTTGCTTGGCATTGAGACTTTGTGTTGGTATAGGTTGTTTTCTCTTCAAAGTTTGAATATTTTTTGTGCTTGGAGTTTTTTGTTGTGATGTATCCATGTTTTGTATTGGTTGTTGTTGTGGTTGAAGATTGAGTGTTATCAGTGGAGAGTGTTGCTTAGGTTTGGATGTTATTGCGTATTGTAAAGTTTGTTGTGATGGGACGTAAGTAGTTTGTGTTTGTTCTTGGAGTTGTTTTAGTTGAGGATGCTTAGGCTGTGTCTGTTGTTGTTGATGCTGTTGAGGTCGTTGTAGCTGTTGTAATCTTGATTCTTGCTTTGAATCATCAGTTATTACTTCCATTATATCATCCAGCAAATTACTTGCAGTGCATGGTTTCTCAATTTTTAGCTTGGTTTGTTGTGTTTGATAGCGGATAAGTGTTTGCTGAAGCCGTGGTTGTTCTTTTTCTGCCTCCATTTTCTGCTGTTGTTGTGGCTGTTGATTTTTATTATGCTTCTGTATATGTGCTGGTTTGTGTTGTTGTCGAGTTTGTTGTTGTTGCGAATTTTGTCCTGGCTGGTTATCACAGTTCGTCAAAGTTTTTAGCAAATTTTCTTCTTTATCCTTCACTCTGCCTTGTTGAAGTTGCTCTTGTTGAAGTTGTTGCTCTTGTTTTTGAGCTTGTTCTTGATATTGTTTTTGTTGTGGTTGTTGAATTTGTTGTTGTTGTTGTTCTGGCTGGATATCATATTTCATCAACTCATCCAGCATATCGTCTAACCAAGAATCATCTTTTTTATCTTGTTGAAGTTGTTGTTGCGCATGTTCGTTATGTTGTTCGGGTTGTGGCTGTTGAGTTTGTTGTGGTTTTGCTGACTGGATATCATAATTTGTCAAATGGATATCATAAATCGTCAACGCTTCCGGTAAATCGTCGAACCACGAAAAATTTTCTTCTTGTAGTTGTTGTTGAAACTGTTGTTGCTGTTCTTCTTTATGGTGTTGTTCGTGTTGTAGTTGTTCTCTTGGCTGGAGACAATAATTTAATTCTTCCGGCAAATCTTTTATCCACGAAAAATCTTCTTTTTTGTCTTTCTCTCTGTTTTGTTGAAGTTGTTGTTGTTTTTGTTGTAGTTTGTTACGTTGTTCGTTTTGTGGCTGTTGAGTTTGTTGTTTTTCTTTTGGTGACTGAATATCATAATTCGTCAACGTTTCCGGGAAATCGTCGAACCACGAAAAATTTTCTTCTTTACCCTCCACTCTGTCTTGTAGAAGTTGTTGTTGTAGTTGAAACTGTTGTTGCTGTTGTATATTTGTTTGTTTGTGTTGTGGTTGATGAGTTTGTTGCTGTTTTTGTGAATGCTGTTCTGGCAAATCGTCTAACCATGATTCAGGCTTCATCCTCTTGTTACCCGGTTTATGTTTCAATACGCCCTTGTTTCTGTTCTGTTTTTGATCTATTTCATTTTCTAATGGTTTATCCGTCGTTTTGATAACTTTCTTGCTGCTCTCCTTCCTCTTTTCTTCGTCCTCCTCATGGTTTTTGTTTGCGAGATAAATGTTTAAGACATTTTCCGCAAAATTGTCTAAATCGACAAAATCTTCAATAGATTCTCCCGTTTTATTATGAACATTTTCTTCCTTTTTTCTTTCATTTTCATTTTTTATCCTTTCATCTTCTACTCTTTTTCTTTCATTTTCTTCCTTTTTATTCTCCTTCTCCTCATTCTTTCTCTTAAAGGCAAGAAATATGTTCATAACATTGTCCGCAACATCGTTGAGGTCGAAATCACTTTCAAAAGA